TTATTTCATTCCTTTTTATGGCTGAGTAGTATTTCATGGTATGTGTGTGTGTGTGGGTGGGTGTGTGTGTATACATGTATACACACACATACACACACCATAAGGTTTATATACACATATATACACTGTGTGTGTGTGTGTGTGTGTATTTGACACAATGTTGCCTGTGGGTTTCTCATAGGTTGCTTTTATTAAATTAAGGTATGTCCCTTCTATGTGGATTTTGCTGAGGGTTTTAATCATAAAGGGATACTGGATTTGTCAAATGCTTTTTCTGTATCTGTTGAAATGATAATATGATATTTGTTTTTAATTCATTTTATGTGATATATCACACTTACTGACTTGCATGTGTTGTTAAACCATCCCTGTATACCTGATATGAAACCCACTTGATCATGGTGGATTATCTTTTTGATATGCTGTGGGATTTGGTTAGCTATTATTTTGTTAAGGGTGTTTGCATCTATATTCATTAGGGATATTGGTCTCTGGTTTTCTTTTCTGTTGTGTCCTTTCCTAGTTTTGGTTAGGGTGATACTGGGTTCATAGAATAATTTAGGGAGGATTCCCTCTTTCTCTTTCCTGTGGAATGGTGTCAATAGGATTGATATCAATTCTTTTGTGAATGTCTGATATAATTCAGCTATGAATGTGTCTGGTCTTTGACCTTTTTTGTCATCAATTTTTCTTTACCATTTCATTCTCTCTGCTTGTTCTAGGTCTGTTCAGAGTTTCTATATTTTCCTGGTTTAATATAGGAGGGTTGTGTATTTTCAGGAATTTATCCATATCCTCTAGATTTTCTAGTGTATGTAGGTAAAGGTGTTCATAGTACCCGTAGTAATCTTTTGTATTCTGTGGTATTGGTTGTAATAACTACCATTTTGTTTCTAATTGAGCTTATTTGTATCTTCTCTTTTCTTTTCTTGGTTAATCTCACTAATGGTCTATCAATTTTATATGAAAACCAGCTTTTTGTTTCATTTATCCTTTGTATTTTTTTGTTTTAATTTCATTTAGTTCCACTAAATTTTGTTATTTATTTTCTGCTGGGTTTGGGTTGGGTTTGTTTTCTTTCTGTAGATCCTTGATTTGTGACCTAAGATTATCTATTGGTGCTCTATCAGACTTTTTGATGTAGGCATTTAAGGCTATGAACTTTTTCTCAGCACCACCTTTGCTGTACCCCATAAGTTTCCATAGGTTGTGTTACTATTATCATTCCATTTAAAGAATTTTCTACTTCTCACATTGATTTCATTGTTGACCCAATGATCATTTAGAGGCAGGTTATTCGATTTCCATGTATTTGCATGGTTTTGAGAGTTCCTTTTGGAGTTGATTTCCAATTTCATTTCACTGTGTTCTTAGGAAATACTTGATATAATTTAAGTTTTATTAAATTTATTGATACTTGTTTCATGGCATAGCATATGGTCTATCATGGAGAATGTTCCATGTGCTGATGAGTGGAATGTACATTCTGAAGTCGTTGCATAGAATGTTCTGTAAATTCCTAAGTCCATTTGTTCCAGGGTATAGTTTAAATCCATTGTTTCTTTGTTGACTTTCTGTCTTGATGACCTGTCTAGTGCTGTCAGTGGAGCACTGAAGTCCCTCACTATTATTGTGTTGGTGTTTAATTTTAGTTCTAGTAGTAATTATTTTATAAATTTGATAACTCCAGTGTTAGGTGCATATATATTTAGGATTGTGATATTTTCTTGTTGGACAAGTCCTTCTATCATCATATAATGCCTCTCTTTGCCTTTTATAACTTCTATTAAGGGTTTTTTTTTTCCTGATCTAAGAATAGCTACCCCTGCTCACTTTTGGTTCCCCTTTGCATGAAATATCTATTTCCAGTCCTTTACCTTAAGTTTATGTGAGTCCTTATGTGTTAGGTGAGTCTCTTGAAGACAGCAGATACTTGGTTGGTGAATTCTTATCTGTTCTGCTATTCTGTATCTAAGTGGAGTATTCAGGACATTTGCATTCAATGTTAGTACTGAGATGTTAAGTCCTATTGTAGTCATTGTGCTATTTGTTGCACAAATACCTTGCTTTTTAATATTTATTTTGTCTTTGTTTTATAGGTCTTGTGAGATTTATGGGAGGTTCCATGTTGGTGTTTTCTGAGGATATGTTTCAAGATTTAGAGCTCCTTTTAGCAGTTCTTTTAGTGCTGGCTTCTTTGTGGTGAATTCTCTCAGCATTTGTTTGTCTGAAAACAATTGTATCTTTCCTTCACTTATGAAGCTTAGTTTTGCTGAATAGAAAATTCTTGGCTGACAATTGTTTTGTTTAAGGAGGCTGAAGATAGGGCCCCAAACACTTTTGTAGGGTTTCTGCTGAAAAATCTGCTGTTATTCTGATAGGTTTTCCTTTATAGGTTACCTGGTACAGGGGAGTGAAATAGACTCTGTGAGATCCTTGGTTGCAGTTTTGTTTATTGCCCTAGTTTTGTGCTGCTTGGTCTCTTGTCAGGAAGTGACACTTTCAAGAGAGTATCAGCTGCTGCAGAAGTATAGGGAGGGTCAGTGGGTGGGCAGGGACCTAGAGTTCCCAAAAGATTATGACCTTTGTCCTTGGTTACCAGGGTGGATAGAGAAAGACCAGCAGCTGGGGGCATGGTTAGGTGTCTGAGCTCAGACTCTCCTTGGGTGGAGCTTGCTGTAGCTGCTGTGGGAGATGTGAGTGTGGCTCTCAGGCCAATGGAGTTATATATCCTGGGGGATTATGAATGCTCTGCTGTGTCATGCAGGTTGTCAGGGAAGTTGGGGAAAGCTGGCAATTACAGGTCTTAAACAGCTCCCCCATGCAGCCCAAAAGGCTGGTTTTAGTCCCACTATGCCCCCACAACAACACCAAGTTTATTTCTGAGCAACAAGTGAGCAGGGCTGAGAATATGCCACAGGTTACCAGCCTCTTGGCTGAGAAAGCAAGCAGGGCTTTTAGGTTTCCTGTTTCCACATCTGCTGCCCCACCTGCTACAGCTTCTGTGCTGTGTCTGCACTCCCAATTCACCCACTCCCCTGAGTTCTGTCCAGGAAACATTGTGTTCAGTCAAAATTGTTACAAAATACAGCTAGCTGGAAGTTTTCTTCTCCCTCTGGTCTTTTCCCAGTTCCTCTGACAGCCCTCCCCAAGGACCTCTTCAAAACAAAGTTAGAAATAGCTTCCCTGGGAACTGAGAGAGCCCACAGGGTTCTTCTCACTGCTTCTTCTACCCTTGTGTGTCACTTGGCTCTCTAAATTTGTCTCAGCTCCAGGTAAGGTAAAATCCTTTTCCTGTGATCTGAACTTTCAGGCTTCACGGTGAAGGTCTGCCTTTTGGGTGGATGTTCCCCCTTTAATATGTCTCCTGCTAATCTTTCTAACCTAAGCAGACCCCTTGGATTCATCTCAATTATTGAGATAAATCAAGCATTTTGGCATGTCCTACTTCCTAAGAACCCAACAGAATCAATTATAAATTATTTAATAGTATCCTCTTTTGCCAAGTGTTATTGCTATCATTTATGCTTATATCATGGAGGAAAAAAAGCAAAGTTTATTGATATTAATGTTGTAATATGAACAATGAAAAAACCATAGAGTAATATCCAGGAAGCCTCAGAAAAATACCCTTATAAGGCTGGTAGCAGTGTTTCACTCCTGTAATCCCAGTACTTTGGGAGGCCAAGGTGGGCAGATCACCTAAGCTCAGGAATTCAAGACCAGCTTGGCCAACATGGTGAAACCACATCTCTTCTAAAAATATAAAACTTAGCCTGGCATGGTGGCAGACACCTTTAATCCCAGCTACTCAGGAGGCTGAGGCAGGAATACTGCTTGCACCTAGGAGGTGGAGGTTGCAGTGAGCCACTGCACTCCATCCTCGATGACAAGAGCAAAACTCCATCTAAAAAAATAAAAAATAATAACATACCTTATAAGTTGTTGGATTTTAACAGCTGAAAGCAAATGTAGAAGAGTTGATTGGCCATCTGGTACCTAAGCATCAACTACTAGTACAAGCTATGAAGTGGGTTGGCTTGTCTGGTAGGGCAACACAGAGTCGTCTCAATAAGTCTTCCTGGTTAGAGCATTTGTGTTAATTATTTTTAAAAAGGACACTTGACAAGAACCATGATGCTAAAAAATTGTAGCATTGAGGCTGAAATAAGATTTCATAAATATTAAGACAATACAAAGTAAAATAATTTTTAAAAGATATTTAAAGTTCTATCACAAGTTAAATTCTATAAAATACCAATATTTTATGATGCAGGACTACAGGCAGATAATTGTTAACTGATTGCTCATTTCTTTTATAAACACATTAGAGAAATTTAGGTGTAGCTTTTATCTCCTCTGTAGAACGAAAGTTGACTTTGTGCCTCTCTTAACAGATTAAATTATTTTAACTGCAGAGTTTTATATAACTTTTCTAGGAAGATCCTTGAATATTGGATGAAAGGAGGAAATAACTTTAGGTTCTTAAATTTCAGTAACAAATACTCTCTATGCAATATATATAGCAGAAAATATGTATTAAGTAGACCTAACAATAAGAAACTATGTAAATGAATCTAATGGTTTTGGGGGGGGAAGAGAAATCAATCTTATTTAAAAACAAAGTTTTTTTTTTCCACTGACTTACCTGTATTTTGAGAAAGACAAGTGATTTTAGGAAGATGAAAGTTTATGAAACGCTTTGGTTGGGTTGATATAGCTTTCTAAAGACAAATTTTATGCATCACAAATAAATCAAATTTCTCTGGAGCCCTTTCATCACTAGAAATAAAAAGTGTATTTCTCTTCTGAGATCATGTCTAAGGGGAATATATATATATATATATATATATATATATATACACACACACATATATGTATATATTATTTTTTAGAGAAAAAATATACATTATTTTTAGGGGAAAAATATATATTTGCAGAGAATATATATGTATATACACACATATGCATATACATATCTGTGTGTGTATATATTTCTCAGTTCTGAAATTAGTAAAGGAAACAAATATCCTTCTAAAGAAAGGGGTGAATTTGGTTTAAGATAAATAATTATTAATTGGAGGAATGTCTAGAATGTGTGTATCAGACATATTTTTGTGCTTTCCTGGAGACAGAATTCTCACTTTAGCACAAATTGTATTGCTGCTTATGCAGTCATCTTCCAAGGATATTGAAGCACTCTTTGTTACTTCTAGAGCATTGTAAATTCCTATCAGGCATGCTAGGTAAGTGGCATGCTTCAGAAATTGGGCAGATTTGTCTTATACCCCCTGATGGGAGCATTTCTGTTTAATAGGGTGCTGTCAACAGAAAGGCAGAAGGAGCCATTGTGGTTTGCTTTGACTACCAGATTTAACCATTGGGAAAATAACATTTTATTCCTTATGACTACTTAAGTTTCTTCTTATTAAAAGCAAAAGTCACAACTTATAATCAACTTTTATTTTACCAATTCAGGTAAGAAACTTAGAAGGAAGAAGTGGCAGCTAATATTGTTGAATTCTCCTCTCACTTGCCAGAATTTTTTTTTCTTGTATGTTCTTTAATGCCCACAACAATTTTGAGGCCAAATTTCTATTAAATTATATCTATGTTTTATTGGGAAAGAGAAATAAAGTAAGTTGCTCAAGTTCACCCAGCTAGTGAGTGGAGGAACTAGAACTGAAACCCAAGTTTGTCTTAGGTCCAAATTCTTAAGCGTGGCATTATGCTCTTCTAAAGAATCCAGGAGGAGAAACAAGAATACTCCATTTTTGGTCATCCTTGAATTGTAGCAGTATATTTGTTCAATCATATATTAAGGTATTTATTCAATAATCATTCAATCAGCATCAACTTTGTTTGCCAGAAGAATTCTACTAGAGCATAACCTCTAAGAGGCTTGGAGGGAGAAAACAAGTTTACTGCTGAATTTTTAGCCAGATGAAATGCCTGACAAGGAGCAGGTCTTCAGTAAGTATTTGTTGAAGGAATTGAGAATCCAGGCAAGAGATAATGGACTTTTCATTTCATGAAATGTTGGGTGGAACTGAGTAATTGATGTTTTCCTCAGATCTCTTTTCATAAAAGTGAAAATTTGATCTTAGAATAGTGGAAGATGATGTGTAAGAGGAAGTCAGGAAAAGATTATAAAATATCTGCTCTTTTTAGAGCTTAATGATTCTTGACTAGTCATGTAGGAAAAAAACACACATTTTTCAGAATGTGAGCTAATTTTTCCCTTGTCTACAGCTTCCATTTATGGCTCTTGGAAAGCAGGACCCTTTCAGTCTTCCCTGCTGCCTTCAGATATAAGGTGAAATAATTCTCTCTTTCTCAGAACTATTCCCAATGTTTGGAAGTATTTATAATGTGTGGAGTGTTACCTCCCATGGGCATTTCACAGAAGACAGGGTCTTAAATCCAGCAATTAATGTCTAATTGTAGGATTGTACATGTCAGAAATCTTTTGGGAATTGGAGTCAGAGTAAAGAAACCAAGGCTGAAGATTGTGGATGAAATGCATTCTGTGGTGCTTGAATTGATCTGAATTAGGGAGATAGTAATTTTTCTTCTGTTCAGTCAATCCTTCATGTTGCAATACTCTAGTAATCTCAATCTATTTTCTCAACTCTTCTGCCACTAGAATTCATTCATTCATTTCTTCATTCACTTATTCTATGACCATCTTCTGTGCCAGGCACAGAAAATATAATGATGAGTGAAAGGAATACAATTCTTGTTCTCAAGGGAACTTGCAGTCAGAAGAGAAAGCAAGAAGAAAAATCCCAATATGGCTAATAATAGACATAAAATGGACTGGAGAGCACATCCCAGACAAGTCGAGTCTGATCAAAGAGAATCAGGACATTTCTGTAATTTGTGATTTGTAAATGAGATTTGAAGGGTAACTGGTTAGTAACCAAGCCAAATGTACAGGGAAGATTATGTCAGCCCACTGAAACTTTTTATCTTCTGGGCTTACTTTCCTTCTTCAATGTTTAGTTTGGCTGGGGCGATTAGAAATAAGGTGATGAATGATGAAAGACAGGACTAGAAAAATACTTTCGGGAGCTACAGGTGTAATATGCTAAAGAATATGGACATTAACCTCAGCCCTTTGTGAAGCCTCCTATGGGTTTTTGACAGAAGATTGGTTTGATCAGCTTGGTGTCTTGAAAGAATTTCTCTGTCTGCAGTGTGCAGTCAGAATTGGGGAGGCCCAAGGCTGGATTAAAGGGGCCCAATGAGAAGGCTGCAGAGTCATTCATACAAGATGACAGTCATCTAAGGATACTGCAGGTTTCCAACATGGTTAACTTTGGAGTCCAAACTTTGTAATAGAATAAAGCTACCTTTAAAAGTTAACCAAGCCTCCTTCTATGCTGATTCTACACTTAGCACTGATGAACTGCTTGTCAAAATGAATTTGACCCTACATGCCTAAGAGCTGTTTTCAACAACTTTGCTTAAATATAGATGATGCTCTTTCCCAGAGGATGTTCCTTTTTCTTGCAGACAGTATTTTCTTCTAATGGTCAGCTCTGTAGAAAATGTAGGAAGTGTAAAACCCAACAGTTACATTAATGAAGTTCCTCTTCTGAATTTCGCAGCTCTAGCAAAAGCAGAGTTTCTTTCTGGAGCTCTCCTTCTCTTGGATGAGAATAGAATACCAAATTATAAAAATCACTATGCTGTCAGAACAAAAAGGAGGGCTATATAAATATAATACCATACATCACGTTCTCTTACGTACAGCATGAAGTAAACGTTCTTAGCATTTTCTTGAGTAAAATACATAATTTATCCTTCTGGGCCTGGGATATTATTTTTTCTTTATTTCCAGAAGGAGGTCATTTGCTAAATGGAATCCGGTTGCTCTAAAAGGGTCAGAGGCCTTCAAAAAAAAAAAAAAAAAGAAAGCATTTAATTCTCTTTCTTATTCCTTATTATTGCAGCTTTTAAATGACCCTCCAGGGACTATTATGTAGCTTAGTGTTTAGTTCATGTGGCTCTTCATAGCTTTTAATATTTAGGGGACCTTTTGTTGTGGGGGACAGTCAGGGGAGGTACATGTCATCACATGGGCATGTGAGTAAATGAATGAAAGAAAGTGGAAGGCAGCTCTTGAAGTTGGTTGAACAACACAAACAAGAGAAACTCCTTGATTTAACTACGTAGCTGTTTCTCTGGATTTCTTCCCTTATGAGCTTTCAAAATTGATCGAGGCTCTGGCTGTGAGCTAACCTGAAAAAAAGAGATCTGGTTTCATGTGGATAAAAAAATGTGCAAAGCTGCTTGCAAGAAATAAAATATACCCTTAAAAAGAAATGTTTAATGTAGAACCGGCCCTAGTGGTTAGGGTGGGCTGCATCAAAGAGATTTTGAAATCCCACAGGGTCACTTATTTTAACGACAGCTCCAATGCCTCACAAATTGACTATTTTAAATATTAACCCCGAGAAAGAGAAATGTTGGTAAGGCTGAAAATGTTGATTGAAAAGTTGTTTCTGAAGGATACAAATAGCAGAGCAGATTACAGTCTTGCCTTGTTACCTTGTGACATCAGCTTTGAGGATCAATTTGAATACTTTGAGTCATATTTACATTGTTATATTTGCATGCAGTGGTGGTTGCTGCTAAAATGGCAGAGTGTTTATTGACATGAATAATAAGGTGAGGATGCACTTCAAGGTGTATGCAGTGAAACTCACCACCTGCAGCGTGCTCCTGGGATGCCCAGCAGTTCTCGAATTGATGGATGTGCTCTCTGCTGCATTTGAAAGATGGCAAAATGGTGTGTGGGGAGAGTGAAGGAGAAGGGGTAGCTTGATCCATTTTCAACTTTGCACAGAAATTGGCCCTTGTGGTATTTTCAGTTCACATCTGGAGGAAAATAAATGTGGCCACCACTATTAACACATTCTGAAAGAAATAAGTCAAGAGCTACTTAGACCGCACAGGTGTCTGTTATCAAAATCTCAGCAGAGGAGTGTTAATATGGTATGTGTTATTTTAGACTCCACAGGTGGGCTGCAGCTAAGAAGAGGAGAGGAGAGCACTAAGGGGGTGCTTAAATAGAAAATGTTAATTTTGAAAGAAAGAAATTAGTGAAGGAGATTATAGGATTCCATTGGTACATGAATTGGTGACTTCAAAGGATAACACAGGAAAATATAAAGCAAATGCCCATTTTACCAGGAAGAAACCCTCTAAAGAGATTTTCTGTAGTGGAGAAAAATGCCTGCCTAGTTTTTGTGTCAGGAGAGTCTGCAGTTGATTCTGACAGCTCTTTACTCTTGACCAATTTATAAATGCTTAATCAAATAATATCACTTTAAGTAGAAAGCTATTTACTGAGAATCTTACTGCACAGGTGGATTTTTTTATTTGGTATTATTGGAAGATTTCAACCACCCTCTATTTCTGAGCCTTTCTATCTAGAAGCAAAAAACTTGGAAATTAATTTTATAGGGCTCTGATTTGTACATACCATGGTATTGGAGTTATAAATGGGTTACCTTTCAAAATGTAAGTAGTAAGTCATGTAATCGAGCCATCTAATTTTGAGTGTAGGATCCTTCCCCTAGGAGAATAATGTCGAATATGAAGCTAAGGACAGTACATGCCTTGCCAAAATAACTATGCTGCTAAGCAGTGTGGCCTATCTGAAGGCACCTCCCGTATTTTTGTCATCACACTTACACATCATTTTATGTGGTATGTTTTATATCCTGCAACTGGCATTTGGAAGACAGCAAGGATTGCAGTTTGCCCATTTGGGAAATTGCAATGTAGACACATGATAAGAGGTTGCAATCTGAGGTAGAGTATGACCTATGCTGTGTTTGTGAGTGTGAGTGTGTGTGTGAGTGTGTGTGTTTGTGAGTGTGTGTGAGTGTGTGTGTGTGTGTGAGTGTGTGTGTGTGGTTGATGAGGGTACAGAAGTGTGTAGGCAGAAGAGGGACTACTTAGTATTAGAAAATGTCATTACATGTACATAGACAATTTAGCCACTATTGTTTAGCTTTCTCTATGGCAACCAAGCTCTCAAAATTATCACTTGATTTCTTGTTATTGTAGCTGTTGTTTAAGAAGTGATTAATGGGCCCAAGTTAATCTGCTCTTTCAAGAAAGGAAGCATTTTCAGTCTCTTAGCCAGCTACAGGGTGGTACCATTTCCTAGCTGATAAGTAGGAAAGGGACTAATGTATTTGTAATAAAATAGATGCCATGGAACCAGAGCAATGATTTTGTGAAAAATAAACATTCAGTGGCTCTACAAATTTCTCATTGAATTAGGGCTGGTTCAGAGAAAAAACACAAAACAAAAAACAAAAACCCGGATCACTGTAGATTTTCTCTGATGATTTTCAGTGTCCAGGAGGGTCTTAGTTTCTTTCTCAGCAGACAACAACACAGACATCAAGTAGGGGAGATTTATAGACCTCCGAAACAGGACAGAACAAGGGTCTGGACCTTATGGTGAAGACACCACCACCACTCGGAATGCGACAAGCCGGATGCCACCAAGGATAGTGCACACTAGTTGAGAACAAAGCAGCTTATTTAAAATTATTAATGAGTTCAATACTCAAATGATCCCTGCTGTATCACTGTTGCCTGGAAAATAAGTATCTTCTCCTCCCTTTGGAGATTTAAAAAAATACAATTCTGTTTCTTCAACAGACTAACAGAACAATGTAACAATAGACATCATATACAAAATATGTAAAATCCTTCCCAAAGGGCCAAATGTGTGCTAAAGTGGCTTATAATTAGGAAACCTAGGGAGAATCCTCCAACAAATAAGCACTATCGTAAAGGAGGAACCATGAGGTCTAATTAATGGAGTCAAGTTTACCGAGAAAGAGACAACTTAATAGGATTTAAGTACCCTCAATAAATTAAATTAAATAATTAATGTAACATAATTTAATTTACATGGTAGAGTTAGAAGAATCATACATTTCATAATTATATTTAACCATAGCTGTATTGAGATATAACACACAAACTATAAAATTCACCCATTTAAAGTATACAATGAAATGCTTTTTATATTTACAGAGTTGTGCAACTATCAACACTATTTAATCATGGCTTTTAAAATTATTATTTGTATAAAGCCTGGGTTCTACACAAGCATACAACTCAGAAGCTTGACCAAGCCACTTAATCTCTCTGAATTTTATTTTATTTTTTTGGTTTGTGTACAAAAGAAAAATAAAATATTTGTTGAAAATCCACTATGTAAACAGGATGGCCTGACAGGGAGCAGTAAGGTAGAGTGACCACACTACGTGAACAGCAACATTTGAACTGGAATCAAGCATTAAAAAAGAGACAAGCAAGTAAAAATCAGGGAATAAAGCCTTCCAGGCAGAGGCAAAGCAATGGTAAAGACAATAAGGTTAGACTGGACTTCCTCAGCTGAAGGACAGAAAGAAGCCTAGAGAGGTTAGAGCCAACTGAGTGATGGCTCTAAGGAAGAAGGTTCATGGAGGGAGACCTGGGAAGCTCTCAAGGGCTATGTAGTGGAAGGCCCTGTTGGGTACTCCAACAAACTTGGATTCTATTCTAAGTTCAATGGAGAGGCATTAACTGTTAGATGCACTCTGAGTGAAGAGACCACCTAAACAGGCTTTCTGTGTGAGCAACAAGGCTATTTATTCATCTGGGTGCAGGTGGGCTGAGTTGGAAAAGAGAATCAACAGAGAGTGGTGGGATAGGAGTTGCTTTTGTAGGTTTGGGGTAGGCAATGGAAAGTTACAGAAGTTACAGTTCAGAATGGTTTTTGCAACCTAGGGGGTGGGTGTTGAGGGGAGGGGAGGTATAACAAGGTCTAGTGTCACAAGGTTGGCTTAACAGTTGAGGCAGGAATGATTGAGGCAGGAGCAATGGTGGAATGTCAAAAGGTTTGTTAGTTAGGCACTGCAGGACCTAGCTATTTTTCTCTTTTTGCTGTTTCTCTGTTACCTTAGGCTTTCTGGCTCCAGGAGGCCATCTAAAGGTGTACATGGGGCCATCTAAGGGTCACAGGGGTCACCATGGTGTAGTCCATGGTGCAGTCAGTTCAAAGAACCATGCATTCCTGCCTTTTTATATTAATAATATAAAGGGGAATAGAAGAAATAGAAGGGCATTACATCATGGTAAAGGGATCAACGTAAGAAGAGCAAACTACCCTAAATATATATGCACCCAACAGAGGAGCACCGAGATTCATAAAGCAAGTTCTTAGAGACCTACAAGAGACTTAAACTCCCACACTATAATAGTGGGAGACTTCAACACCCCAATGTCAATATTACACAGATCAACAAAAGAGAAAATTAATAAGGATGTTCAGGACTTGAACGCAGCTCTGGACCAAGCAGACCTAATAAATATCTATGGAACGCTATACCCCAAAGCAACAGAATATATATTCTTCTCAGTTCCACAATGTGCTTATTAAAAATAGAACACATAATTGGAAGTAAAACACTCCTCAACAAATGCAAAAGAATGGAATTATAACAAACAATCTCTTAGACTACAGTGCAATCAAATTAGAACTCAGGATTAAGAAACTCTCCGAAACCTTCACAACTATATGGAAACTGAACAACCTGCTCCTGAATTACTACTGAGCAAATAACAAAATTGAGGTGGAAATAAATAAGTACTTTGAAACTAATGAGAACAAAGAAACAATGTGTCATAATCTCTGGGACACAGCTAAAGCAGTTTTTATAGGAAAATTTATAGCACTAAATGCACACAGAAGAAAGCAGAAAAGATCTAAAATCGACTTTAGAACAAAAGAACTAGAGAAGCAAGAGCAAACAAATTCAAAAGGTAGCAGAAGACAAGAAATAACTAAGATCACCACAGAAATAGAGAAGAGAGAACTATGAAAAAGCCTTTAAAAATCAATCTATCTAGGAGCTGGTTTGTTGGAAAGATTAACAAAATAGTCTACTAACCAGTCTAATAAGAAAGAAAAGAGAGAAGAATCAAATAGACACAATAAAAAATGATAGAGGGGATATCACCACTGATCCCACAGAATACAAACTACCATCACAGAATGCTATGAACACCTCTATGTAAATAAAGTAGAAAATCTAGAAGAAATGGATAATTCCTGGATGCATACATACTCCCAAGACTAAACCAGGAAGAAGTTGAATCCCTGAATAGACTAATCATAAGTTCTGAAATTGAGGCAGTAATTAATAATCTACCAACTAAAAAAAGCCCAGGACCAGATGGATTCATAGCCAAATTCTACCAGAGGAACTGGTACCACATTTTCTGAAACTATTCCAAACAATAGAAAAAGAGGACTGCTCCCTAACTCATTTTATGAGGGCAGCATCATCCTGATACCAAAACCTGGCAGAGACAACAAAAAAGAAAATTTTAGGCCATTATCCCTGATGAACATTGATATAAAAATTCTCAATAAAATGCTGGCAAACTGAATCCAGCAGCACATCAAAAAGTGTATCCACCACAATCAAGTCAGCTTCATCCCTGGGATGCAAGGCTTATTTTTACATATGCAAATCAATTAACATAATCTATCACGTAAACAGAACCAATGACAAAAAACACATGATTATCTCAATAGATGCAGGAAAAGCTTTCAATAAAGTTCACCCCTTCATGATAAAAACTCTGAATAAACTAGGTATTGCTGGAATGTATCTCAAAATAATAAGAGCTATTTATGTTAAACCCATAGCCCATATCATACTGAATAGGCAAAAACTGAAAGCATTCTGTTTGAAAACTGGCACAAGACAAGGATGGCCTCTCTTACCACTGTTATTCAACATAGTATTAGAAGTTCTGGCCAGGGCAATCAGGCAAGAGAAAGAAATAAAGGGTATTCA